TTTTGGATTTCCCTTTTATTTATTTCAAATAATTAAAATACATTAATCCTTAATAAAGATCCATCAATTAATTTAAAAATAAAAATTCTCAATTCATAATGAGTATTATTATTTTACCCAAATCAGAACCGAATCGATTATCGGTTGAACCTTATTGTTAATTTTGGTCGTCTATATCTAAAGGATATACTTTTCCCACAAATGCAATACACGCCCCAACAACAACCCATTTGCTACGTAACATGCAACAGTGAGGTTGAAGTGCCCACGTGCCTCCATGTATGGACCCCAAGCTTGATGACGACCAAACAGGACATATGAGCATAGTGAGTAGAGTAATCCATTATGGATTCACTTAACCACGTATGTGTATCACCTGTATCATAGTGAAGCGGGTATAAGGAAACTCTAGGGGGAACTTGCCTATGCAACGCGTTTTCTTTTTACTTTCCCTCGTCTAGTTGTATAGTTTGTCTTTTATTTTCCTTTAGAATTTCGAATCAAGCAAGGGGAACCTCAAACATGGAGGAACTTGAACCTTCACATTCATTTTACAAACCCAAAGAGCAAGTCACGTACTGACTGAGTAAGGAGAGGTGTGAGGCCCAAAGGAATTACAATCATGTTTCCCGACCAGGTAAATTTGACACCTATTCTATAGAGGATTAACATCGCTTAAGGCTAGCTTTGAGATGATGAAGTGCTTCGGATCATAAAGCTTGTGAATAGCACCTTAAGATGTATTTTTAAGAGGTATGTTATCCACTATGAGTTTAAGAGGAATTGGATTTGGTTGTTGGCTCTTATTCAGAACCTTCTTCATTGCTTACACAAGAGTAGGAATCCCAACGATGGTCTCTAAAACCAGTGCAGCAAATTTTTTTCACCCAAAATCTCTAAAAACTCATGAAATATGTCTAGAACTTAAAAATTGGAGTTTTCTAGGCAGGGGAGTTTTTGGAGCCCTAGCCTCTAGAAACAGAGAGATTTCGACGTATTAAGTTGTTAAAATATTTTGTGTTGAGTTTATGGTTCTTCATCTTCTTCTTTGTCTCCATAATGACTTTTATTATCCTCTTTCATTGGTGTGAAAATTACTGTCAGTTCATCACTAGGAGGAGGGAGACTTGTATAGGAGTAATTGATATCATTTTCTAAGTGATTTAAAGATTTTTTTTTCTACTTCTCTTTCTTCTTTTCCGTAAAGAATAAGGTAATGCTTTAAATTTTCTAGAGAAAAGGACTATTGAACGTGCCAGGGGCCTTAGGAGACTCCCTACCAAATTTGGATTGATCATAATCTCGTTTTTCTACAAGTTGTTTTCAGCTGACCGCCTGCCCCAACACAATTTTGGTCCCCCAAAGAGCACTGGTCGGAGCCGTTTATAGTTCTAAGCCTAGAAATGGTGTTTTCTTTACAAATGTCATCCTCTCCTTCTTTGTTTTTACAAAATAGTAATTGAGGATTTACTAAAAAGAATCAAATTGTGTTGAGCATCGGTGAAGTGCATGACTATTTCCCATTTTTATATTTTATATATCTAGATAACTTCAAATTATGATTGGGCACTCTAGAGGATTCCTCAATAAATATAGGATTGAAATTTGGGTATTTGCTGGGGTGTTCGATTTTGGCGAGTGTGTCTCCAAAATATGTTCAAGTGGGGGAATTTTCATTTTCACCGCCTATTTTTGTTTCTTAGCCTTTGCTTGGTTATTTTCGAGCAAAGTTTCTCCACAATACAATTTTGTCCGCGTAATCGTAGGGATTTCAAAAAGTTGTCGTGATTCGAGGTTGCAGGCACTAAGGTCTTTTCTCTCTTCTGACTTTACTTCTTTTTAGTTGAATTAAGAACAATTGATTTGGAGTGATCAATGAGAAGCATACCATTATAATCTTTACCTTTTTCGGAGATCGTAAAGATAGCTCATGTGTTATCCAAAGGTTTGTAACTATCTCACTACCATAAAACCGATCGTAAGACAATGTAGACATGACATTCCTTATTCAAAGTACTGTCATTACTGTACATACATAGACAAATACCATTTTTATAGTCATGAATCTCGATCAACATATGCAATCGAAACATGTTATTGTAGATTACTATACGCATGTGTGGTATCTAAAAACTAAATCATCATACTTCATTTTTTTCATCACGAATAAAGCAAAATAGATAGCAGGATTAGTTTTTTTTTTTACAATACAGGATTAGTTGGTGTTGCCTTCTATCTCAAGTGCTAAAACAAAACTAATTTTTTGTAGTTAACGCCATTGAAACATGTGGTTGTAGATTATTATATATGCCCGTGTTGGCAACTAACTAAACCGTAAAAACTTCATTTTTTATCATAAATGAATAGAAAGGATATCAATTTGAGTTGGTGTTGCCTCCTATCTCAACTACTGAAAGAATCTACTTTGTAGATATTTTATTTGTCGGATTGCACCCTAATCACGAGACAAAAGTAAATGCTATAACGACACTAGGACCATTTTATGAAGATAAAAATTAAACCTAAAAATGCAAATTATACTCAAGTATTTCTCACCATTTTACTTCTTTTACCGATTATATGATCATTCATTCAACATATATCAATATATTGAGTAACACTTAACGCATGAAAATTCTTGTCAATATACTTATTCTCACATCATGTGATCACTCATATATTTAGCAGAATTCATCTATGCTTAAAAATACCGAATAAATCCCTAACTATGCTTGCAAGGCAATTGGTTTTCATTTGTAGTTCTCATTGGGTTCCAAGCTATCCACTTCATTTTTCCGCCAATAAACTGTTAGATGAATGAGGTTAAGTCCAAATTACTATTACTGAGTCAACGGTGAACCTCCGCATGACAACATTTGGAGAGTTATGTTTTTAATTGATGGTGGTGGGACCCACCAAACAAACTCACTGGAGGTCAGATGACGGTTACATGCTCATTAGTTTTATGGGATAACCATGAACAACAAATTTGGTAAGAAAATCTAACTCTAGTATAGAAAATTGGCATAGTATTAAATGTCATACTTCAACTCCATTAATGCTTTGCCTTTGGAAGTAAATGAACAAAAAGGTTTTTAAGGAAAAATTTCAGTCAAATTTCAAATTTCGTGAAAATAAATAATGAAGCAAAAATTTGAAAAGCATCGGAAAGAAATATAAGAGTAATTTGAAAGATTTTAGTTCAGCGATATCATGTTCATACTTAAACTAAAATAGTATATTCAATCGAACGTTCAAGTCTTTTTCGAATAATTGTTGTGGTACTAGTTAGTATGGGTAAAAAAAATGTGAGAGTGAAGAATAAGGACTAGTTTATCCTCTCACTTTTTACTCTTTTGGGCACTGTTAAAGCAATTACATAATTAGGGTGAGGTAAAGAGTAGTGAGAGCCTGTGTGTTATCCAAAGGTTTGTAACTATCTCACTCCTATAAAACAAATCATAAGACAATAAAGATGACATGCCTTATATAAAGTACTGCCATTGCTGTAAATACATAGACAAATACCATTTTTATAGTTGTGAATCTCGATCAATATATGCAATTAAACACATTATTTTAGATTATTATATACGCACGTACGTGTGGTAACTAAAAACTAAACCGTTATAACTTCATTTTTTCATCATGAATAAAGATAAAAAGATATCGGCATTAATTGGTGTTGCCTCCTATCTCAAGTGCTCAAACAAACTAATTTTGTACATAATGCAATTGAAACACGTGATTGTAGATTATTATATAAGCAGGTGTTGGCAACTAACTAAACCGTTATTAATTCATTTTTTCATGATAAATGAATAAAAAAAGGATAACGGTATCCGTTCGTGTTGCCTCCTATATCAACTACTGAAATAAACTACTTTATGTAGATATTTATTTGTCGGATTGCAGCCCAATCCCGCGGCAACAAGAAGTGCTATAACAACACTCTGTACATTTTAGGAAGATAAAATTAAACCAAAAATTACTAATTCTACTCAATTATTTCTCACCCATTCTACAAATGAAAAATTACGGCCAATATACTTATTCTCACATCATGTGATCACTCATATATTAAGCAAAAATTCATCTATGCTTAAGAAAAAAATTCTAAAAACCCTAACTATGCTTGTAAGGGCACTGGCTTTCATTTGTAGTTCTCTCTTAACGTGAGTGATAGTTTACATTGGTTCCTAGCTAGCCCCTTCTCTTTTTTTTTTTGCCAACAAACTGTCAGATGAATGAGGTTAAGTCCAAATTACTATTACTGGACTATTAACTCACCCAACGGCAAACCTCTGCATTACGACATTTGGAGAGTTATGTTTTTTAATGGATGGATGGTAGCTGGACCCACCAAACAAACTAAATGCAAGTACTACGAGTCTCTCTATGGAGGTCAGATGACAGTTACATGCTCATTACTTTTATGGTATAACCATGAACAAAAAATTTGGTGAGAAAATCTAACTCTAGTGTAGAAAATTAGCAGAGTATTGAATGTCATACTTCAACTCCATTAATGCCTTGCCTTTGGAAGTAAAAGAACAAAAAGGCTTTTAAGGAAAACTTTCAACAAAATTATAAATTTCTCAAAAATTATATGCGAGAAGCAAAAATTTGAAAGTGACTTTGAAGATTATTAGATTCATGTCTTTTGGATTGGATCGAACATACAAGTCCGGTAAACTCTCTATGCGATTACCTCTTTTTTTCTGCTTCTAATTGTTGTAGTACCAGTTAGTATGAGTGAAAAAAATGTGAGAGTGAAGAGTATCCTCTCACTTTTTACTCTTCAGTTCACTATTAAAGCAATTACATAATTAGGGTGAGGTAAAGAGAGTAGTGAGAGCCAAAAGGAGAGCTCTAATCACAGTTCATCACCTCACTGAAACAAAGTTGGCACGCCTGAGTGTAAAGACCTCATTTAATACTTGTCCAAAAAAGTCAAACCGCGGTTCAGTTATATATACGACCCACACGAACAAACTCTGAGCCACCCTCAAATAACGCCTACATCTCCCCAAGCAGGATGAACAACAACAACAACAACAACATGTCCTCGCCATCATCATCGTCTTCCTCCTCCTCGACGCCCTTGTTCGTCATCAACCACAACAACTATAGTGTCACCCTTCTGCCGCCGCCACTGGAGCAGCCGTGGACCTCCACCGCCCGCATCGCCCTCTACAAATACTCCCCGCCCCCTTACCTCACCGCCACGCCTCCGGTCATGGATAACGCCCTCATCCGGAAGCGCCCCGGCCGCCCCACCGGCCCTTCCAACAAGAAGCGGGCACTAATGATGAGCGGTGCATCAGATGTCATGTCCGAATCGGGGGACTCCTCCGACCAGGATCCGGCCAAGTTGAAAAGGTGTCTCTAGCCTCCTGTTTGTGTAGATATAAAATATATAACATATTTCTAACTGCGATATCATCAATACGATGTGGTTTTGATTCTGCGGCGTATGTAGAATGGTGTCCAACAGGATATCTGCTCGGAATTCTCGGATCCGGAAGCAGGAGTATGTGGAGTCGCTCAAGAAAGCGGTCACCATTGAAGAGGTATAGATATTAATAATTTAATAAGTAGATATATGAATGTGATGGGAATATGTGCATGCAATGCATGCAGGACAAGATCGCAGAGCTGGCTCCAAAAGTGAAGGACTACCAGTGTCTCAACATATTCCTAAGGAATGAGAATATAATGCTGAGGCAAAGAGTGGAGAGCATCGAGAGGCTTCAAGCTGCCAAAGAAGGTACCATTTTTTCCCCCTTTCTCTATATGATTTCTTATGTGTTTTGGTTAATTAAAAATGAATGATTTGCTTTTGTTGTTGGTTGTGCGCATGCAGCTGAGTCTATGGCAATGCAGAAGCAAATAGATGATTTGGTTTGCTACCTCGACATCGCGGCCAGAATCCATGCAGAGCCATGACTAAAGGGGAGGGGACGACCTTATCTAATCTGTGTTGCCTTTTTAATTACATTGTCATCCGTTTCAATAAAATGTATCTCAAGACATATATAGTTGGGATGCGTTCGGTGCAAGTAATAAAACTGTTTGTTTTAGATGTAAATTCATCAGAAACAGTATATCAGTATCGTCACGTAAAATCAGTTCAAAAGCTATGTTATGCTTGTGCCCGTGGAACAACCAGAATTTGGGTAAAGTGAGTTCTCATTTTCGAATAAATTTGATAATATTGTGGTAAGTAAATTCCTATCAATATATTGAGTTGCATAATCATTCATCCAATCATTAGTTATTCGATTGTGTAACTTATCCCGGCATTTTTTAAAGGCCTTTCTCGAATGATTTTTGTTGTCTTATTGTTGATTTTTTTTTTGCTTTATCGCCAAGAGAATTGAATTTTGCAGTGGCGACGTATTAAATTTGCTCTCTAGCAGTATTTACCGAACTTGAATGCATATACATACCCGCTTATATTTTACCAAATCAAATCTCGAGACCCTAATCCTCTCTCCACCACCCTCTGCGAATGCTTGTGTCGGCTTGGCTTTTGTAGGTTGATAAGAATTCTACCTATATGCAAAAGCTGAGTTCTCCAGCTGAGAATCGCTGCCCATCCAACACTTGTCCAAACTTCCCAAAGTACCCTCATTGTTTTGTTGCTTTTTACATATTTGCCATTTGGATGTCAAATTTGCCACATTCCATCTCTATCCTATGCCCGTCTTCCCAAAAGAAATCCCCCTCTTTTCTCTTTCCTCTAAGAGATCCTTGCTACTAGCGAAAAAGGCAAGCTAGAAATAAGTCAATAACCAAATTTGAGAATCCATGGCTTCTCCCTTCTATGTCGATCACGGATCCTGATGGTATCATCTTAACAATCTCTCATTGCAAGTCTATGAAAAATAGAGTTTACAGAATATACTTCCATCATTTTTTTACAGTTGTGATTGAAATCCTCCTATGATTGTTAAAATTCTCACATGCAAAGGAGTAGAAAGTAACCATAATAAATAAAAGAAGTAAGAAGAAAGTATAATTTCGTTTTCAAGAACAAACATGTGAGATTGCACTCAATTAAAACGAGGGTTTAGAGGTCTACAACATAACTAATCAAACTATGACTGTTAATACTTCAACATAATACATATAAAAATTCCCCCCAAAAGGAACAGGAGGAGTCTTAAGGAATAAAAGAAATTGAAACTCTCCGATTTTATGGAATCTGTTTATGCTGCATGCGTGAGGAATATAGTTGAAGAGTAGGAAGAAAGAACCCACAGCTGGTCTAACAAGAAGTTTTATCTTAGCTTCTGCCATTTAAATTATGCATCTTTGTTGCCTTGTTGTATTAAATATGATGTATTTAGGGAATACCTTGATTAATTTTTTTATTATGCAACTAAAGCTAGCATTTAAGAAAAAGGAAATAAATAAATTTTTATTATGCAACTAAATTTTTATTATAAATAATTACTTAAAATAATTCAGGAAAGAAATAAATATTTGAGTAATTCATTTAGGAAATAGGAATAACCAATTAATACAAGTTATATTTTGGGTAAGAAAATCGGAAAACTTTTTTATATCTCAAAAGTTATAAAAAAACATTCATTGTATATAATCTCAATATAATTTGGGTTGTCAGTTTGGTTTTTTTGTTTTTGTTTTGTTGCAAGCGAACCAAACCAAAGAAGCTTAATGATTTTGACTTTTGATTTTAAATCATTTAACATGTCAAATGATGATGACGATGATTTTATGAAGCCCAAGAAAAGCTCAAGCTCAAAGAAGAGGAAACGTGGAAGCTCCAAGAAGGAAATGATAAAGAAGTCCTCCAAATACAAACAAGATCCATTTGTCTGTGGTGGTGTAAAATCAAGAGAGGAGATAAAGCTCCACAACACAATCCTAAAATTTGTCGGGCAACATGTGGACGAGTAAGTTAAAGGTTTTATGAACTTGTTTACAGACATTGTGGTCAACTTTAGCAATTTTGATGCATGCTTTTATTAATGATGACCTTTGCAATGAAAATAGGAAAGAGGTTCTCTTGACTGTTCAAGACAAATTCAGCTCACTCATTAGGTTGGATCCAAAAAACAATGGCGCAAAGGTGTCCAATAGTTTTTATTGATGCGTACTCCGACTACCTAAACCGTATACAAGCAAAGTACGAAGCCATTAGAAGATGGGTGCTCTCTACCTACTTTGCTGTAAGCTGTAGAAATAATCTTAACACTTCCAAAAAATGAAATAACACATTCATTCCATTCATTTCTCTATTAACTTTACAGGAAACAATTCAAGATGTATTTGAGGAGAAAATGAAAACCCCAAAGTTCAACCTTGAAGAGCCAGATTACAAGCTGAGGTTAGTGAAGAAATGACTAACAATAAATGGATACCAGATGATATCAACTTCTCCAAATGAGATTTTGTAAATTTTTCATACCATTTCTTTTCTGTTTGTGGTATGCATTGATTTAATTATAGACTTCATTGCTAAGTTCCTGGACTGCATTTAGTTCATCTGTTTTTGTTTTGACTGGCAGCGTATACTTTCATATCTCCGCAAAGATTGTTTCAGGACATATGGTTAATTTAAAGGACAACATATTCGATTTCCTGGACATCCAAAACCCTGATCGTTTCTGTAGATAAGATATTAAACCATAAGATTTTAACAAATTTGAAAGGCATAACACATACATTGCAGTCCAAACAGGTGATACATCATGCGGCGTGATCACAATGAACTGGGCAGAGTGCCAGGAAGGACAAAAGGAGGATTACATGAACGAATGGGGAAAACCAAAAGTGATAAAAGAGCGAAGAGATGACTCTAAAGTTGATACTGGATCCAGAAAATATACTACTTGAAGAAGTGAAGGCAAAAAGTTTAACATATATCAATTCTCGTTGAGAATTAGTTTACAGTGTGTAAAGAATGCCCATGTCAATTGTATGGTGTTATATGACATTAATGGTTTGTTAAATATAGGTTATGTTGACGTTTATGCAACTATTGGCCTATATATTCAACTTTCTGTGCCGTTTGTGGAAGTTGTGTTATGCAACTTAATTAGGTGTTTGAGGACTGCTTTATGACAATTGTGGTGTGGTATGTGACATATATTGGCTGGTAAATCAAACTTGTCGAATGAACTAGTTTAAAAATTAGGAAAAAAGGAAGTGGTATTGAATCAATGTGTTATTTCTGGTCAGCCTTTTTCATCTACTGAACAACTTTATAAAGTTTGTGGGGTGGGATATACTAATTCTGGTGCGGTATGTGGATGTTTGTTTGCAACTTATATGTGGAACTTAGTTTTAAATGTTTGAGAATTGCTTTATGACAATTGTGGTGCGGTATATGACAGGTGTGGGCTGGTAAATCAAACTTGTGGCATTAAATAATAAAAAAATTATAAAAAAAGGAAAAGGAGTTGTAAGATTTGTGGTGTGGTATCAAGCTCCTAACTCTGGTCTGCAATCTTCAACTACTATACAACTTTTTAATGTTTGTTGGGTGGGATATACTAATTATTGTACTAAAAAAACCTTGTGATCCAATTTATCCAATTACATGCATGTTTCCTTGTGTTTTTGGACTACATCCACTCCATAAAAAAAATTAAAAACCATCATTTTAAATCGATAAACCCTTCCTAGAAAAACACACAAAAAACCTCCACAACAAAAATAGAAAAACCATCATCCAGAACCATAAAAACTAGTGTCCGCAGCTACAATCATAATAACAGAAACAAAAGAAAAAGATTCAATTCATTTCTTCTTATTCTTCTTCACCATCATCATCTCTTAAGCCACCTTCCACCATGGTCCCTTCTTCACTACCTTCTCTGTTGCTGTTGGCAGTAATAGCAGCAAGCATATTGTCAAGTAGACAATGTTGCTCAGCACTTGAAGATGATCCTGCATCTTGGAGATAAGCAATGATCTTTGAAACAGGTTGGTAGGCACAAACAACGCTGAACACGAATCCCGAAAGATCCATGCCTATTTTCTTGAAGAACTTCATCACCAGACTAGCATAAGGTAAGCCAAAAACATCCCTGCCATGACTTGGGATAGACCCAATCATGTTCACAGTCTTTAGGGATGTAATATCGACCTTTATCCCTCTAGAAGCATAGGATAAGACATATATGTCTAGAGGCAGCAAAACAAAATGATGATCAATGCGACGGAGGAAAATATTATTAAACCAGCCAGTGAAGCACTTGAAGGGGATGAGGCAAGAAGGATATATCTGTTTCCCTCTAGTAAGAGCCTGGAGGTCTGAATGACAATGTTGATACTCTTCTTCATCCTTCCAAACAACACCATTGACAACAAAGCTTTACCTTCTCAACATATATGGAGGAATCAAACTAACTTTGTTACCAAGATATTCAGAAACATAAATGGGATGACGAGAAGAAGTATAACCTCCTTTCACAAGGTTGTGATAAAACAAATGAAACGCATAGGGGGTTGAAATTACAGGAATTAGCTTTGCAATGCTCAAATAAATCCTTTCAACCAAGATTTCTCACCAGTTCAAGTACATCAGCAGGAAACAGAGACATAGAACTCAAATCGTACTCTTCAATAATGGGAAAGTCTGACAAATAGTGACGAAACACATTGATGTTTACTTTTTTGGAGTTTGATGGAGAAACTTGAATAGTTAATAAATAAGATAAGAGAAGAAGAAGGAAGTTGAAAAGACGTAAAACAAAGATGGAAGTGGGTTGAGCCGGTAATAGATCAATAAAACGAGACGTGGGAAGTTAATTTTTAAGTTGATAATTGAAAATAACTAAGCATCGTGATAGAGTGGTATGTGGGGTCAGGGTAGAGAAAATCTCTTTTCTACTTTTTCTTGTTCCCCACCCGTGTGGACTACTTAGTGCACTTAGTAGGGGGTTTCATCATCCTCCTAGCCTCTTTCGTTACACTTTTGGCCTACTGTGTGACTTGTAAGCAGATCCATTAACAGGTATTGTGGCTCACTTTATCCACTTATTGGAGTATGTACCTGTATTTGTGGACTCTTTTGAGACACTTCTGGTGAGCTTGATATGAGTTAT